TTTTTTTTGCTTATCCGAAAAAATAGTCCGATCTGTGACTCAAAAAAAACAACACAATATAATGCTATTATAATACTATATAATACCCTAATATATATTAGGCTATATATATATATATATATATTAGGCTATATATATATTTATATATATAATTTAATATATATATAATTAGGTCAAAACTGGTACGTCAGTGAGGAGAGAGATTATCAATTGAACTGAGAAGCAAATAAAAAAGGTCCCAAGCTCAATGACCACTACAGAGGCTTTAACAGAGAAATCGACTGGTATGCAAAGACGAATGTCACCTTTTTGAAGAGGCGTCCTGAGTCCTCGCTGACCTGGGCGAAGCGTGGGATGATGTTGTTGAGGTAGAGATCGCTGAGAGTGGCGTGGTCTCGACTCTCTCTCTTCACCTGAGCCAAGAGAAGGTTCCAGCAGTTGACTGGAGACAGAACATTTTGCTCTTTCCTGCAGAGAAGAGTAAAGAAAAAACACATTTATTATCATTTATAATACAAGAGAGCAGAAGAATCAGTTAGAAAAAGCTATTTAAAAAAAATACATACTACAAAAATACATTTGCAGTAGTTGCAAAATAGCTGCAAAACAACTGACAAACAATTCAATCACAATACATAATCAAAAGGAATCAGAGGAATCATCTGAACATAACCAAATGATTCAGTCAAATAATTTCAAGCCAAATAGATTTAAAAAATGTAAGATAGTAATACTAAAAATAGTAAAGTAAATTCTAAATGAATTTTTAAAATAATAATTATTGATGTGTTTTCCCACACAATTTTTATATAGAAAACGAGGACATAAACATTCATAAACATTTTTGATGATGCAAATTAATCGTTATATCACATTGTGTGTATATATATATATATATATATATATACACACACACACACAGTATTCAGTAATATATCAATAATACATCTGAAACTATCTTGCTGGTTATAAAATGTACAGTATTTTGATATTTATTTTGCAATTTTGGGCCATTAAGTTTCCTGAAGATGACTATATATTATAGTGACAATATACAGTATTAATATGCAAAAAGTCTCATCGCCATCAGTCATTCAAACAGCCAACTGTTTTTGAAAACTAATGACTTCAGATCACTTTGCCGCTACAAATCACTGTGAACAACCTTTGAGACACAGACATCATCATTACAGATAAATCAGCTCAAAAAACCCTCTGGACTCCTGCTCTGATAGGGAATGTGCCCAGGATGTTAAAAGTTACTCTAAACTCATACAGTCCTGGTATGGTTAAGAAGGGTACACATGCATATAGATCCGTCCTGATAAACCTGTTGCCCTATATGTGAAGTTCACTCATGGATTACAGAGCAATGGATGTCACGCAAAAGAGGAATTCTGTTAAGCCCTGTGTTACTCTGGGCACATGCTGGAGGGATGGACTCAGCGGCCTGTGCATGCCAGAGGGTCCCGTAGAAGCCCATGAGGTGGGACCCGTTCCCTGCTGCTAAAATGCCTCTGAACGGGTGGGGCAGAACCTGATGTTTCTTCAGACCAGACGGTCTGAAATGTCCACAGAGAGTGTAGAATCAGGAAGGACTGGATCTAAAGAACCCGCAGAAAGCATCCAACTGTCTGTTAATGTTTTACAGACTGTCTGTTTACAGAGGAACAGCTAACACATGACCTTGGTCCTGCTGTTGACTGGAGAGCAAAGTATCTGTGAGAACTAAAACGTTCATCACATTTACCCAAACAACAAGCAACCTTATCCATCAGTGGTATGCAAATGTGTACATTTAAGGCCTAAACAACTTGTGACTTGCAAAGGCAAAAATGTTGAAGTAAAATCAATTTCCTCCCGCATTTTAGAAACACTGCAACTCATAAAAAAACACTTCCACAGGGTGGATTTAACAGCTATAATGACATACACTAAAGTTTGTAAGAAACAAATTATTTTATTAAGCAGGGACATATTAAACTCATCAAAAGAGACGGTAAAGACCTTTAAAATGTTACAAAACATTTATAATTTAAATTATTTTTTTTATATTAAACAGCTTTATTAAAGCAGCACTGTTTTCAATATTAAAAATAATAAGAAATGTTTTTGAGTACTTGATTACTGAAGGATCATGTGACACTGAATGGCTGCAGAAAATTCAGCTTTGCATCACAGGAATAAATTCGATTTTAAAATATTTAAAAATAAAACCCTTTTATTTTAACTTGCAATAATTTTTCACAGTTTTTATTATATTTTCATCAAATAAATGTTGCCTTGGTGAGCATAAAAGACTTTCACTTTTGGACTGTAGTGAACATATCCAAATAATTTTAAATGTGCATGCCGAAAAACCATGCTATTTAAGTACATGACCAAAAATATGTTATTTCCAAAGCACACGTCCAAAATCATGGTAGTATACCTAGCTACCTTTGCAAAAAAATCAGACCCACTTTATGCTGCACATATCATAGCAGGATATCAGCAACATCTGAACCCAATTTAGCACATTTAAAAAATTTACATAAAAAAAACATATTCTGGGCTGAAACCAAGCACTGCTGATGTCCTGAAGTAGTCTGAGTCTAATAAACCTCAAGTGATGTACGGATGTGTATTAACACTTGTCTGACACCAGTCCTCCCTGCTGAAGAGCACGTTGGATTAATCATATCACACGACGGGGATCCTGTCTCTCTGTATAGGACATTCCCTCTGGCTTCGCCTGCCGACAAGACTTCAGACAGACACTCCTCCCAACGAGTTCAAAGCGAGGGGAAATCAGCCAGCATTCAGAGCTCAGCGGGGGGCTCAGTGGAGGTACATCACAGCCTGTTCTCCTGCTCAACATCTGTCAGTGTTGTGGAAAGGAATGGACACATCTCACGTCATCGGTCCCCATGTAACTCTTTTGATGATGGGATCAGAATAAAAAGACCAAATATACTGTCGTCATCAAACATCAAGGTATTTCAACAGATGCTAAAGGAAAGCAACAGAGATTCATATCGTAAGCTTAATGGAATCCTCAAGCATTACTAATTTTTGCAAATTAAAGTGTTCTAATATTGTTCAAGTATATATTCCTTATTCTTCAACATTTCAAATGTTTTGTACTTGTAAAGTGTCACAAAACAAATGCTGACTGTTGTGTTAAAGGGATAGTTCACCCAAAAATTTAAATTCTGTCAATAATTACTCAACCTTATGTTGTTCCATCCCAGTAAAACCTTCGTTCATCTTCGGAACACAAATTAAGATATTTTTGATGAAATGTGAGAGCTTTCTGACTCTCCATAGACAGCAACGCAACTACCACGTTCAAGTCCCAGAAAGGGAGTAAGGACATCGTTAAACTAGTCCATGTGACATCAGTGGTTCAATTTTATGAAGCAACAAGAATGCTTTTTGTGCAAAAAGAAAATTTCTTCGCTTTTGTGTCAACCTTCACTGTGGTACTTTTGTGAATGCATGGTGGAGACTGACACATAAGATGGTGGGATGTTGCATTGCTGTCTATACAGGGTCAGAAAGCTCTCGGATTTAATCAAAAATATCTTAATTAGTGTTCCAAAGATGAATGAAGGTCTTATGGGTTTGGAACAACATGAGGGTGAGTAATTAATTACAGAATTTTCATTTTTGGGTGAACAAACCCTTTAAGTCCTTAGCTTAGCAACATGCTAACTTCAGACTCTATTGGAATACCATTGTGACCATTAATAGAGTTGTTGCCCAAGTATCAGTAACTACAAAGATTTTATTTTAGTTAGAACGATACCTTATAAAAAAAGTTGAATACGTAGGGAGCACTTTAGAACAGACCTACTGAATAAAAACAAGCGGCACACAGGCAGCAGTCACAATTCAATTACAATTATAAGTAAATAAGTCTAGTGTGTTCAAAACACTTAGGCGTGCACACCACTCTCACCAATAATGTTTCTCTCCACCAGCTTTCCCAGACACCCTTTTCCCCCCATCCAAAGAACAGCGGTTAAGAAGTGTAGCAGAAATACTTGTATTTGGATGTTTTGGAGGCTACGGCTGAGGTAAAGAGTGGAATGAGATCTTGATGTTTGCTCTGCCAATGATCGCACAACACTTGGGAAACAGGGAAGAATGAAACTGGTTCGAGCATGTAGCAAAAAGTCAATCAAAACATAAAGGTCTTGCACAACAAGGGTTCAAAGAAGGCAAGTTCCTGATGGTAAACCACAGACATGTGTGCCAAAAAATGGTGGGAACACCTCCATTAATTGACACATGGTGCAGGACATATTATAACACAAGGAACACGAGAAGACAAGAATATACTAACAAAACAAATCTTCACAAATACCAAATTATGTGTAAAAAAAAAAATATAAGAATACAATAAGTGAAACCAACAGTCTAACGATTATTGAATGATTAAAACCAACCTGAGGCATTGACAGCCCTGAGAAACATCCTCCCAAACACACTAATTTGCTTTTTTATATGCAAAGAAGCAAAACACATGCTTAACTACATAAGATGGAGTCCTTGGAGAAACTCAATTCCTCTCGAGAAATGAACAAAGGGACGTTGATGAGATTAGCATGGCCTCTTGGCTGACGGAAAGGGTTCTTAAATGGGCATTCAGACGAGGGAGCTCCGGGTCATTTCTGGAAGGCCATGAAAAAGCTGAGGTCACATGAGTGGAGGAATTGCCCAATTAACAGCAAGGTCACCGCAGACAGAGCCGGCCTTTCACCAAAGGAACGCTCCGCGAAGCCAAGAAGGGCTAATTCCTAGGTGACATACTAGGGATGCACCGATACCACTTTTTCCAGTACTCGCCCGATACCGATATTTTTATTGCATTTGTAAATTTTTAAAATATTGGGTACAGAAACCAAAAGAGTATGTATAATGTTAGTTGGTTAACTTTATTTATCAAATAGATACAGTCAAACCTAAATTTATTTAGACACCTTCAACATTTCTCCCGTTATCACAGTTTATTCGCTATAGTTTAGAAAATGGTAATAAAATATAACAAGAACTCAGAGTTAAACGGAGTCAGAACAAATTCAGCTTGATAATGTTAGATAACTTTGATAGAAAGGTATGTAATGGATTTTGTTACTTTCACTGTTAATTTTTTTCTCTCGCTATGGTAGCCTACATCATGTTTAATTTAATAGCATTAGAGCTGCTCTATTGCAGCGGCTTAGTACTGTAATCACACGCTTTGCTGTAATAATGCAGGGAACCACTCGTTATAAATCTCCTAACTGTGATATTTTCAGAAATAGAAGTCGCGTTTTTTTTTTCATCTGGAACGTGCTGCGATTTATATTCCAAAGCTACTCATATAATGCAGAAACACTCAAGCAAGCAAAACACGCGCAACGCCTGCACGTGTTTGTACTGATGCAAAATAGTACAGCCTAGCGCATTTCACACAAGCAGCGAATGCCGGTCTTATTTTT